GTGTGTGTGTGTATGTATGTATGTATGTATGTATGTATATTTGTATATATATGGGTCGACCAGCTTGTAGTTTGTCCCGGTGCTGTACTAGTCGATCCGGGGATAAATCCACACCACTCTTCAACCGATAGCGCGCTTATTGCATATGCGAACATTCCTGCATATATAGTTATAAGCTCTCACACACACATACACAAACACACACACATGCGAGCCCACACATACTATGTGCACTCGTGTACCCTTCTGTACATTATTCTCAGCAACACACTTGCTCACACATTCCGCATATTGGTAACTGATCCACAGGCACACAAAATCGCATAACCCATCATCACGCATGCTTGTTGAATGTGTATATGCACACACGAGACCACAACAGCCTATTGTGTAAAGGTACTTGTGCACTCACGCCTGTCCGAAACAGGTCCCAAATCCAGGTTTAGGACAGGGCCGACGACCAGAATCGAAATTGGAATCGATAGGCCATCAGTCATCCCTGACGCGGCACACGTCTGTTCCCGCAGTCAACTGGCCATCAGATGTCAACCCTGACACTCCCACTGATATTACAATTGAAAGGAGAGGTGGGTGGCTACACGCGCAACAGCTGGCAAATGCTCATGCCCATACGCATGTGTTGCTGGGAAGAGACTGGCATAAACAACTCAGCGGAGTAATATTTTATATATATATATATATATATATATATATATTGATGTATGCGTGTGTATACTTGTAGAGAATGGTATCGTTTTTTTCTAGCATCTCGCGTGCGTGTTTGTGTGTGTATGTGTGTGCGTGCGTGCGTGCTTCAATTTGTGTATACACAGACAGGATAAACGTTTTATTGGTTCTTACTTTTCTACGCGTGTAGGTGCGTTCATGTGTACATATGTTAGCATACGACCAACGTGCTTCATCTGTGGTTGTGTGCGTCGACGTATTCAATAGATATATTGTGTGTATGCGTGTATAAACCTGTCAGTCTAACTAGAATTCAGGGTTTAGGGCCTAGGGTTTATTTAAACAAACACACACAGCGGATGTTCGGTAGGTAGTATATGTCTTTCTGTAACCCTAACTTGGCATAGTTGTGGACTAGTATGTATCTTGATACGGATGATAAACCCAAGTTTACATCACCCCTCGATATCTGTGCATGTATTTGTCCCAGTCTAGCTAAACAAACACACACACAGCAAATGATCGGTAGGTAGTATTTGTCGTCCTGCAACTCTGGTGGTCTAGTCGAACTTGATATGGATGATAAACCAAGTTTACAGCACCCCTCGATATCTGTGCGTGTATTTGCCTCAGAATAACTACACTAACACACACAGAGCAGATGATAAGTATATATTATTTGTCTTCCTGCAACCCTAGCTTGGCAAAGTTGTCGTCTAGTCTGTATCTGGATAATAAAATAATCCCGCACTCCTCAATATATGTTATCGAACTTTATTCGATGGTGGGAAAGTGCGTAAAGTCGTGCAAATAAGTCCCTTTGTCAAATTCAAGGCGCCCAAGATTCCCGTAAACAAAAAAGAAAAAGGGACCAACCCAAGTATGGTTCTCTGTCGAGTACATTGAAATGTTCGATCACCTGGTGTGTGGTCTTGTGCAGCTGTGTGTGTGTGTGTGTATGTGTATGTGTGTCTCTCTCTCTGTGTATGTGTCTCTCTCTCTCTCCCTCTGTGTGTGTGTGTGTGTGTGTGTGTGTGTGTGTGTGTGGTTTTTTTGGAGATGTGGAGACAACGTAGCACAGATGCAGCACGAAAGCCTGGATGTTTGGGACTTGTGTATATATGCCTGAATGCATGGGGACATGTGTATGTGCATGGTTTACTAATACCTTCCTCATTACCCACCTCCTTTGATCAACTTCGGTGTCCTTTAACTCAGCAATGAATACAAAAAATGGTCATAAAATCCGCCCGAAATCCTGTCTGGGCCCACGAAAGGCAGAGAACATACAAATGGAAGTGTGGGCGCAAGGAAAAGTAATGGTATGTCATTCGTAATGTGTATCACTCACGTACCTTTTCTGTGTGTGGGATTGTGCCACTCAGGTGTTTATATTTGCATCCTGTTCCGTGCATTCATACATACGTTTAAAAGAATTAAACGCATAAAAAATCAACCCAAGGCTTTTCTCGCCAAACCTCCCCAATATGGTCACAGGGTTACTAAACCTTACCGCGGGTTTGTTCCTGTCCCATATTAGGAATTATCCGGAAGACTCGGGCAAACCATGCATGTGAGTGACCAGCCCGAAACGGTAGCCTCAGTCAGAGGCAATACCACAGTGTCCTCCGATGACGATGAGTGTGAGTTCTATGATGCAAGCTCAGTGCCAGTCAGTCGTAGGAGCAGTGGCTCGGGAGACCGGACCGCCCCTGCACCCGGCCCCAAACCCAACCCCAGGGGACAGGGCCGGGGTCCGGAAGTACGGCAGGTAGGTAAGACGGATGATACCGCACATGAAGTAGGTAGGACATCGGGACAGCTACAGCGCCTCCGGCCCCACCAGTCAAACGGAACGACAGACCACTCCGGTGATACGTCAGAGCCGGCGAGTGATACATCCCAGCAGAGAGTGAGCGGCCCGAAATCCCAACAGCAACGGACAGAAAACAGGACACCCCATGCCAGCGAATCGGGGGCCAGGGTGCAGCATTCGAGTGCGGAGTGGGGGGAGATAGATGACGGGCGCAAAGAGGATCGGATCGGGGGCCGATTAACGGCCAAGAAGAGCGCGGGCACTTTCGGGAGTGGCGAGTGGCATCCGAGGCGGACACCTGGCCACAGCGCAGATGTGGTACGTGCATGTCGAGTGGTAGGTGCGTGTAGATAGCCCGGGTAGCTTTTGAACTATACATTGGGTACAAACCTATAGTTCAGGGTCTCTATATCCCAGGTAGCTTTTGAACCATACATTGGGTACAAGCCTATAGTTCAGGGTCTCTATATCCCAGGTAGCTTTGAACTATACATTGGG